CGTCTGCTGGCATCCCGAACCCCAAAGAGGTCTGCTCTCGGAGCTCCCTCCCAACATTTTTTCGCCCGAAACCCGCCAAGGCCCCCCAGTTCGCCCACGCCGCGGCCCGGCATCCCCACCGTCAGAGAGACATTTGTTTCTCGGGCCCCCCACCCCGCAATCTCTCGCCCGAAACCCACCGGCGCCCCCGACCTGGCCCACGACACGGCCTGGCATCCCCACCCGCACAGACTCTGTTTTGGGGGCCTTCCACCCGACAGTTTCCCGCCAAAACGGCCCACGAGGGCCCCGAAAACACCCCAGGATGTTTCCGAATGCCAACATTCATCGATTTTGCTCCCATGACATTCCACATTGTGACACAGTCGTTGAGGGTCTCGTGGCATGCAGCGAAGATGCCCGAGGTTGCCCCTAACAACTTTCACAAGATGATCGTGAGGCCTCCAGGGGTCCCAGAAGCCCCTGAGAGGCAATCGACTGCTACGCGCGCATTCCCTTGGATTGGCAATGCTTGGAATTATGACGCATGGCTCCACATTGCGTTGCTTTGTTTGGCACTCGCTCGCATGGCTTCCCATTGCTTTGCATTGCGCACCTCGGCCACCCAGGCCACCAACGGGCGCCCACGCGATTCATTGGGATGTTCTCTTCAACCATGCAAGTACAAATGCATCCGTAGCCGTCGGCTCAATTTTTTTGCGACCTACTCTTCCTCCCCTCCTAATCCTCCGTCATCCCATCCTGCTCCGCGAGGCTTCCCTCCTCGCTCCGCAATTTTTGCTCAATTTCCCAGGTCCGCGACTCCCCCCTCCGCCCCCCCAGCGACGAAGCGGGCGCAGCAGGATGAGGAGAAGAGGATATGAGGAGGAAAAGGGGGAGGGGGAGGAGGCAAGCTAGGTGCGCTCGCGTCATATCTGACGTCCTACCCCTCCCTCCCATCCCTTACCCTGGCGCTGATTTTCTCTATCCGCGGACGCGTGTCGTAGCGGACCTGTGGCTCCGCGCGCGCGTGCGTAGTGGGTGGTGGTGCGCGTGCGTGCGTGCGTGCGTGTGTGCGTGGTTGTCGTGGTGGTGGTGGTGGTGGTGGTGGTGGTGGTGGTGGTGGTGGTGGTGGTGGTGGTGGTGGTGGTGGTGGTGGTGATGGTGGTGGTGGTGGTGCTGGTGGTGGTGGTGCTGGTGGTGGTGGTGTTGGTACTGGTGCTGGTGCTGGTGGTGGTTGTGGTGGTGGTGGTGGTGGTGGTGGTGGTGGTGGTGTTGGTGGTGGTGGTGGTGTGGCGGTGCGGCGCGGTGGTGGCGGGCGGATGGGCGCGCGAGAAAAAGGCCCGCGCTGGGGCGAGAACGCCATCCTGAACGACGGAGGCCAAACACCGATCCGAAAATGAGGCCCACGCTGCAGCGGTAGCACGTTTCGGAACGATTCGGGAGCAGAAATGCGGCCGCGCCTCAACGAGAGCCGCCATTTGGCAAAAATTGCCGCCGCGCCTCAGTCGAGAAATTCGTTACCTCCTCCCGGATATCCCGGCATCTCCTGTGTGAAAAATAGTACGCGGAGGGTGCGCGGCCATCACCCGGACGCCATCAGGGGAAGAGGGATAGTATTTTCATAGTGAGTAATTGTAGAATGAGGAGGAATGGAGGGAGGACGAATAGGTTCCACGATGGACGTCCGAACGTTTTGCGTATTGTTTTCGGCCTCCACGGCCGTCTTCCCGACCAACGACTCTTCAAACAAACCTTGAAACTGGAAATGGTTTTACTTTCGACATTGGGCCACCCATCTAGCTGTTGTTCGCTCCCTCGAGCGAAAAGAGAGCAACAACGGAAAAGGAAATAGACCGGAGACGCTGGCCACAGTTCGAGCGCCGGAACAATGGCACGAGGGAGTGCTTTTCGAAGGGTTCATAAAATGTCCAAATTGCCCCAAATAGCTCGTCGACTGCTGCAATATCGTCGTCGTCGTCGTTGTCACCGTCGCTGCCGTCGTCGTCGTCGTCTTTGGACGCCCGAAATGGGTACGGAAGAAATGGGCACAATGCCCAACAACAAATGTTGTCCCAAACCAACAGCGGCCGCTGTTGAGCAGGCGGCCTTCTGTCTTGAATGGACACAGGCCGCGGTGGCGTGGACAGCGAGTCCTGTTCAAATGAACAGGAACTGCTGTTGGGCATCGTACCCATTCTTTCCGTACCCATTTCGGGCGTCCAGATCGTCGTCGTCGTCGTCGTCGCCGTCGTCGTGGCCGGGAGGGGCGCCCCGGGAGGGCGCCAGCCGTCCACACGTCGTCGTCGTCGTCGTCGTCGTCGTCGTCGTCGTCGCCGTTCGTCGTCGAAAACGTCGTCGATATCGTCGTCGTCCCCGTTTCGACCAGCCCGCCGGCTTTGCTCGGCCTGGCCCGGCCGGCAACTCAGGAGGAGGATGATGAGGAGAGGGGGAGGAAGAGGATGTGGACCAGGAGAACGCGAGGGTATGCTCACAACTCCCACCTCGGAAACGCTTTGCCTCACAGTGGTCCCGCCATTTTCGCCTGAAATATCCTCGCAACTCTGGAGTCCGAGACGCCCTGGCCTTAGGTGTTCAAGCCAATTTCGCCTGAGACAGTCTCGCAAGTCTGACTTCGGAGGTGCCGTGCACCATGGTGGTTAGCCTACTTTCGCCTGCGACTTCTCGCAACTCTGGATTTCGGGATGCCCTGAGCTGAGGTGTTCAGACCACTCTTCGCTTGAGACTTCCTCGCAAGGCTGACTTCGGAGATGAGCCGCCCCTTAGTGCTCGGGCCAGTTGCGCCTAAGACATCCTCGCAACTCTGACCTCGGAGTGCCCTACCCCAAAGTGGTCCGGCCACTTCCGCATGCGACACCCTCGCAACTCTGCGTCTGGGGATGTCCTAACCTGCGGTGTTCCGGTCACTTTCGCCAGAGCCATCCTCGCAACTTTCGGTTCCGAGGTGACCTGAGCTGAAGAAATCAGACCACTGTGGCCTGAGACCTCCTCCGAACTCTGACCTCGGAGAAGCCCTGCCCCAAGGTGGTCCAGCCATTTCCGCTTTGCGACTTTCTCGCAACTCTAGGTTCCAGGGGTGCTTGAGCTGAGGTGTTCGGGCCACTTTCGCTAGAAACGTTCTCGCAGCTCTGGGTTCCGAGATGCCCTGCCCCATGGTATTCCGCCACTTTCGCTTGAGACATCCTCGCGTCACTGAGTTCTGGTCTGTCCTGAGCTGAGGTGTTCAGGCCGTTTTCGCTTGAGACATCCTCGCAAGTCTGAGTTCCGGTATGTCATGAGCGGAAGTGTTCAGGCCATTTTCGATTGAGACATCCTCGCGCACTGACCTCGGCGATGCATTGTCCCATGGAAATCTGGCCATTTTCGCCTGAGACCCTCGCACCTTTCAGTTGCGAGATGCCCTGAGCAACTGGTCAAGCCACTACCGCCTGAGATACGCATGTGTATGCGAACCCATAGTTACACATATTTTTACATATATATATATATATATATATATATATATATATATTTATATACATATGGGCGTGCACCGACAAAGCACGCCCGAGCTGCATATGCATGCTCATACCCGTACACACATAAAATTATATGTACATATGTACGCTGTATACACATATACAACAATGTAAGTATACTATATACACCTGGACATATATATATATATATATATATATATATATTTATATATATATCTCGTCCCCACACAGCGCTGAGCCCACTGTCCTCAGCGGTAGCGCCCCCACCACTGTCCCGCTGTCCCCTCACCACTGTCCCCACCATCACCGTCCCCACCACTGTCCGCCCCCCCCCTCGGTTTTCGAGGGGGGGGGGGTTCAACCGGTAGTGACCCCCCCCGATTTTCGAGTTCGAGGGGGGGGGGGTTCGAACCGGTAGTGATCCCCCCCCTTTTCACGATGAACTGGGGGGGGGGGGGGGAGGGGCTTCGGACACACACACAAGTGCACCCCCCCACAACCTTTAGCCGCTAGTGGGGGTTGGGGGTGGAGTGGTGGGAGACATGAACCGGTAGTGACCCCCCCGGTTTTCCGCCAGCAGCGGTAGAACACGCTCTTTCATATATACGGAACGTGCATGCGCGTGCGCGTGTATACATGCATGCGCGCATGTATGCACGCACGCACTCCGCTTGCGTGCGGAACTCAAAGGACCAAGGTGCATGGCGCGCAGCGCCAATGCAGTCTTGTATATATATATATATATATATGTATGTGTGTGTGTGTGTGCGTGTGCATGTGTGTGTGCTGTGTGCATGTGTGTGTGTGCATGTGTGGAGTGCATGTGTTTGTATGTGCCAGGCCTCAGCGGATGCTGCGGTAGGTCAGGGGGCGGTAAGGACGAGGCTCTTCGGGGGGAGGGCCAAAGTGAAACAAGGGGGGGGAGAAGGAGGGGAGGGATGGGGGGACAAACAGTGGGGGTAGGGGAGGAGGATGGGATTGGTAATTCTAGAAATTTAATAATTAAATTTTTTTTTGGGGGGGGATTTATAAAAATAAAAAAGAAAAAAAATAAATATACGAACAGACAGAGAAAAAACTAAACTCCAGAATAACAAAAAAAACAAAAAAAAAAACTATCCTAAGAGAATAACAATAACGAAACAGCGGCAACTCTCCTGTCAAAATCCACCGGATCCCTCGCAGGGTCGACCCGTCTTGCGAGCTGCGCCCAGCCGTGGCGACGAGAAGCCCCCAGAGGCTCAAACAGGACTAACAACGCAAGATATGGCTGCCATTGTCTCGACTGGTCCTCCTCCGACTCTCAACGGCGTGCTTTTGTTCGCAGCGTGGTTCCCAAAGTTGCGGGTCCCTTCCGCAAAACTTGATTGCCATCCCGAGTCGTTCTTCTGGGGTCCAAGGGCCCAGTGAAGGCCCCAGGAGGCCGAAAACGCCTGCTCCGATCGGACGACGACCTTCTCGCGGTGCCTCTTTTCGAGCTCATCACGGATACGCCCTCGGCGGGCCGGGGGCCGGCAGCGCTTGCGTCGCGCCGTAATAGCCGTGCGGCGGAGGCGCGCCGTAGCCTCGGCGATGGGTCGGGGAGGGTGGATCGAGGAGGATGGATCGACTTTTCACATGCGGCGCGGGGATTTATCCATATCCACCGCCTGGGACAGAACGTCCTGGGACCCCAGCGGGCGGTGGATACGAACATATGTGGCCCCAAGGCCAGTAAAGATCCATATCCACCGCCCGCCGACGTCCCTGAAGGTCGACCCCCCAGGCGGTGGTTTTGGATAAATCCGCGCCTCGGATCTTAGCACCCAGACCCCTCGGATCATGAACAAAGCACGACACAAGGCATTTGGTCGTTTTGGGCGTCTCGGGACCACAACAACTCAGAGATGAAAAGCCGGTCCCTGGGAAGCGGTCAAAACCTCTGCAAATCCGCGTCATGAACAAAAAACACGTTGGGGTTTTGCGCATGAAGGAAGCGCACCCTGAAAAAGGGGACGCTGAGTGTTATCGTGGATTCGGCCTCGGAGGAGCGAACACGCTGGAACTATCAGCATTTGCAGCCTCGGAGGAGCGAAAACGTTGGTGTCCCTCGGGCCCTCCACGGGTCCTGGGACCGTCTAAGAACGAACTACGAGACCGAAACTTATGTGAGACAAGGCTTCTTAGAGTCCGGGCGGGCTTCCAAGGCGGCCCTGCGTTCTGAGAAACTCCCCCGCCTCCGTAGAAGGCCGCCCCCCTCGCGCCATCCCCTTGTGGGAGCGCTGCCAGCACCTGCGTTTGACCTCGGCTCCGCGGGGGCGTCACAAGAGCAGCGGCCTCGCCAGCCAGCAACTGACACTCTGACTCAACTCAAGGCAAGGCGTATGACAGGCGAGGAGGATCATGAAGAACCCACCCCTCTAAAGTCGTGGGATAATGTCGGGCCGTTTTCGGACCCCGCGAGGCGGATAGAACTGTTCTCAGGAATGGGTGTCCATAGGCGCTGGGGCTATTTGAACATCACGGTGTCGGATCCGTCTGAATGGTGAGCGGGGTCCAGGAGGCTGGATCGCGAAGTCGGATCGATGAGGATAGAGTGGGGGTCGAGAATCAAGGAGGATCGAGCGAGGATCGAGAATCGAGCGAGGATCGAGCGAGGATCAAGCGAGGATCGAGGATCGAGCGAGGATCGAGGAGGACCGATCGAGGGAGGACGAGCGAGAGAGGATCGAGGCTGGAACGAGGAGGAACGTCTTTGGACGTACGCCGCCTTCTGAGAGGCTCTGGGGCTCTGGCAAAATCCTCATCAGAAGGCTCCACTGTACAGGTCCCCGGGGAGGCAAGGGATGAGGAGGAACGTCAGGGGGGAACCGGCTCAGGGGGGGAACAGTCGAGCCTGAACCGGCGATATATCGCAATTAGATCGGCGCCAGGCATCCAATAACGAAACCGCGCGCTCCTGGGCGGGATGGGCTGTCGGGCCCCTATCAGCGATCAATGCTCGATTGGGGGTCGATGCATCTCCTCCCCCTGAACCTGTCCCCCAACGTTGCCCCTGGATGGGCCTCTTGCGACCCATGCGGAAATCGCGCTTGAGTTTGCTTCGCCATCGGGAGGCTGTTTCTGGGCCGCTGCAATGCAGGGAAGAAGCGCGGTGTGGAGGAAAGGAAGCCACTGGACATGACCCGCGATTTGGGGAAAAAGGTGGTCCCAAGGAGAGGGTCCAGAGGTGGTTTTCACGCATTAGAGCAAACATCATGGCGTAGAGGTCTGGGGAGAGGCAGACCAGGGAGAATTTCGTTGGAGGTGTTTACCATCCTTGGGGGGAGTCAGGGCTGCCTTTCCATGCTGAGGGCAACTGCGGGCTGCGGGTGGCTGGGGAGGCAGGAGGGGAAAAGGGAGAAAGGTGAGGGGGGATATAAGGACCAACTGCACGCAGCAGATTTCGGAACCCATCATTTCCCTAACCCGCCCGCCTTCGTCCGACCCGAGAAAACAAGCGACCGCCTCAACGGGCACACGTGTGGGGTTATCTAAAACAAGTTGGGCGAGGCCGCGACCTCGGGGATCTAGCACGCACGGGAGACATGCACTAAAAAAAGTGTTGCTTGGTTCAACGTCCGCCCGTTCATTCGGCGAGGCCCGCCTGCCGAGAAACGGCCGAGAGGAGGTCGACGACCAGGACGACGTCGAAGACGACTACGCCAACGACGGCGGCAACGGGCAGACGGATTGGACGTCTAAAGTGGATAACCGCGAAAGGTCTTCAGAACCCCCGCCCCCCGCAGTATGGGGGGAACCAATTGTTTTGTCGGCGGCCTTATTGAAAGAATGGGGCCCCACCAAAATGTGGTAATCCCACCAGCCCTCTGGGCGTCGGTGGTTTAGGGAGTTTCCTCTTCCACCCCTCCTTGTTCCCCTTCGGGGAGGGGTTTATCATTGTTCCCTATTAACAATTACTCAATATGAATGCTACTCTCCCTCTTCCCCCGAAGGCGGCCTGAAAGTAACCGACCCCCCCCCGCGTATTGTTTTTTTACACACAGGATTCCTGGGAGTTGGGTTTTCGCCTGCGTTTTTTTTTCTCCAAAATGCTGCTCTCGCTGAGGCGCGGGCCTCACTTCTGCTCCCGAATCGTTCCGAATCGTGCTCCCGCTGCAGCGTGGGCCTCATTTTCGGATCGGTGTTTTGCCTCCGTCGTTCAGGATGGCGTTCTCGCCCCAGCGCGGACCTCTTTCTCGCGCGCCCATCCGCCCGCCACCACCGCGCCGCACCACGCCCCGCCCGCCGCACGCACAACACCCACCGCCACTTCCACCCACAAACGGCCACCACCACAGCAATAATCTAACCCCACCCACCACCACCACGCCTACAAAACAGCGTCACCAAAGCCACAGCACAAGCGCGCACACAGACACACGCACACGCACACGCACACGCGCACGCCCACGCACGCAACGCACGCGACGCTACGCACAAACAGCACCACGCACGCACGCACGCAAACGCACGCACACACAGAAGAAATCACACACACACACCACACACACACACACACTCACACACACAACACACACACACACACACACACACACACACACGCACACGCGCACGCACGCGCACGCGCACACGCACACGCACGTGCACGCACGCACGCGCACACGCACACACGCGCACACGCACACGCACGAATCCCGCGCACACAACACACACACACACACACAAGCACACAAGAAAACACACACACCACACACACACAAACACACAACACACACACACACACACACAACACACACACACACACACACAGCACACACCGCACGCACTCACGCACGCACGCACGCACGCACCACGCACGCACGCACGCACGCACGCCATACGCACGCACGGCACACAAACACACACACACACCCACCCACCCACCCACCCACGCCACCCACCCACCCATCTCCACCCCCCACCCACCCACCACCACCACCACCACCACCGCCATCACGCACGTACGCACCTGGCCCACCACCAAACCACCAAGACGCCACACCAGGTCACACCACAGCGCACGCGCACACACGCACACACACACAAACACACCACCACCACAACAACCACAACCACGCACACACGCACGCACGCACGCGCACCACCACCCACTACGCACACGCGCGCGGAGCCACATGTCCGCTACGACACGCGTCAGAAAATCAACGCCATGGTAAAGGATGGGAGGGAAGGGTAGGATGTCAGATGTTGACGCGAGCGCACCTAACTTGATAAACACCCCCTCCCCCAAGCGACAGGGGGCCAACCAGGGCCCATGCGGCCCCCACCCACAATCCCCTGAAATAAACCATGTGAACACACTCTGCCTCCAAGCTCCGAACATGCGCAGCCAACCCGATGCGTCCCCCCCCCCCCAACATCCCTGCCAAACAAAAAACAAAACAGAGTACACTGGGCGGCGGCGGCGGCTGCGGCGGCTGCGGCGGCGGCGGTGAAGGCGACTGCGGCGGCGGCGGCGGCGGCGGCGGCGGTGGCGGTGGCGGCAGCGGCAACGGTTGCGGCGGCGGTTTGGCAGCGGGGGGCGGCGGCGGCGGCGGCGGCGGCGGCGGCGGCGGCGGCGGCTGAGGCGGCGGCGGCGGCTGCGGCGGCGACTGAGCGCAAGAATGCACTTGGCGGCGGCGGCGGTTACGGCGGCTGCAGCGGTGGCTACGTCGGCGGCGCGTGCGGCTACGCGGCGCGCGGCGGCGGCTGCGTGCGCAGCGGGCTGCGGCTGCGGCGGCTGTTTGGCAACCCCGGGGGGTCGGCGGCGGCCATGCGGCGGTGGCGCGGCGGCGGCGTCGGCGGCGCGGCGGCGGCGTCGGCGGCGGGCAGCGGCGGCGGCGGCGGCGGCGGCGGCGGCGGCGGCGGAGACGGCGGCGGCGGCGGCGGCGGATTGGCCCCCAGTAGCTGCCCATCCCAAGACGACTGCTGAATATGCTGAGGCTCGGGCCAGACTCGGGTGCTACGTATGTGTTGGGAGGGCGGGTGGGAGTGAGCGAGACGGCTTGCGGGCGGGGAGGGGATAATTTGACCCCTCCCCCTGCCCCCTCCCCTGGACCTGGACGGGGGTGGGTCGCGAGTCGTCGGAGCGTCCCCTCGGCAAGAAGCCAAAATTATCCCGGCAAAGCAACCTAACAGCGATGTGTAGAAGCATATATGGAAACATTCCCCTTAAGATCCAGATGAGAATCCAGTTGTAGAATTCTCATGTTCTCGCAGTCGCAGTCGCATTCGCGATGACAGTCGCAGTGGCAACGGCAGTCACAGTCACAGCCTCAGCCTCAGCCTGACTCAGTATCAGCCTGCCTCAGCCTCAGCCTCAGCCTGCCTCAGCCTCAGCCTCAGCCTGCTTCAGCCTCAGCCACAGCCACAGCCTGCCTTCAGCCTCGGCCTCAGCCTCAGCCTGCCTCAGCCTCAGCCTGCATCAGCCTCAGCCTCAGCCTCAGCCTCAGCCTCAGCCTGCCTCCGCATCAGCCTGCCTCAACCTCAGCCTCAGCCTGCCTCAGCCTCAGCCTCAGCCTGCCTCAGCCTCAGCCTCAACCTT